ATGTGTGAAAATGGAAAGAGCGTTTACAATAATTCATATCAACAGCAGAAGTTTGTTTAAAAACCATGAAAACATCAGACAATATCTGGGTCAGTTCAAAAAATTCAGCGTCATCGCAATTTCAGAAACGTGGCTTGATGACGAAAAGAGTTGTGAAATCAAGTTGGATGGTTACACATTATTTACTACACACCGGGTTGGGAAAAGAGGAGGCGGGGTAGCACTCTTTGTAAATAGGGATTTAAACTGTAAAAAGATTGATAGTAGATCTACCACCATAGACGGAGTCTTGGAATGCTTAACGGTTGAAATCGAGGTTAAAAAATCCCGGAAGATAAATGTCAGCTGCTTGTATAGAACGCCTGGGTCATGTTTAGACACATTCAATCAAAGCGTAGATAATCTATTTTTTAAGACAAAAAAGCTCCAAATTGTGTGTGGTGATTTTAACATCAATCTTCTAAACCCCTTAGACGACTCAAACATCACTGATTTTACAACAAGAATGTACAGTAACAGTTTATTCCCTCTCATTACAAAGCCAACCAGAATAACAACCAGCTCAGCCACGCTAATAGACAACATTTTCACAAATCAGCTCGAGACCCAGATAACAGCAGGACTACTCCTTAATGATATAAGCGACCATTTACCTGTTTTCAGTATTTTTCACGAACTCTCTGACAAGAAAGGAAAAACACAGACTGACCATTATAGGTTTTGTAGACATCAAACAGCAGAGACTTTGGCAGCTTTCAAAGCTGACCTGTCTTTATGGGACTGGAGTGAGGTGCTTCTACTGATCCAGATGAAGCCTATGATATATTCTTAAACATCTTTCTGACACTCTATGATAAACACTGTCCAATTAGAAAAAAACATATTAAAAATTCCACTAGACAAGTGAAACCATGGATCACAAAAGAAATACTAAAATCATGTAAAAAGAAAAATCACCTATATTCAATGTTTATGAAAAACAGAACCTTAGACTCAGAGCATAGATACAAAACGTATAAAAACAAATTAACCAAAATAATTAAACAGAGCAAAAAAACATTACTGTAACTCACTTCAACAGCATAAGCATAGTATCCAGGGCATGTGGCAAATATTAAACGGCATCATTAAAGGCACACAAAAAAAGGAATATCCCAAGTATTTTATAGAGGATAACCAAACAATACAGAATCCTAAGGGAATAGCTGACCTATTTAACAATTTCTTTGTGAATGTTGGACCAAATCTTGCAAATAAAATTGATCAACCTAGAGATACTCAAGTATTTGATGAA